CGCTGCAGCAGCACAGCGACAACAACAACAACGACAGTTAACGGATTTATCCTACGCATTTTGCGCTGTTCGCAGCTCCGTCAGAGGGTGTGTTAAACATAATTTTATGGCTTAGTTTACGCGCCTCGGCACCTTTTCTCTTCAGCTTTTAGTTTTGTATATTTTTTTGGAGTTGCTGCGAAAGCTGTATTGACTCTTTATGGCTATTAACGCAAGCCGCAATTCGCCGTTGTGTTGTTCTTTTTTGGCTAGCTCAGCAATAGTTGTTATTGCAGCCATTGATGTAGCCTTTGTGTGGGCGAGTTCAGCTAAATGCTTTAGTGATAACCATGAGTTAAAAGCCAAAAGACAAAGCGCTTAAGATAACACGTAAGACAGCACCAAGGCATTATAGCTACGCGAAGTGGACATACTAATTAAAATAATAAATATGAACAAAATTTTAATGTTATTGCAAACAACTTAAGCTTAAAGCCAACAATTTTTTTTATATATATATTAAAAAAATTAAAATTTTCTTTTAAATTACCTATATATATATATTGATGAAATATTGATGAATACACATATACACTCAAATTATCCACGAGCGACATCAACAACAAGACATAATGATCTGTGTAATATGAAGTATTAGAGTCCCTATAATATATACATACATATATAGTTCAGAAGAATATTATCTCCGACAGCATGAATTTATTAATAAAAAATCGTATAATTCCTTGCAGATATACCATCAATAAAATCAAAACTTCATGGTAATTGCGAAAGTCTTGAATATTGTATTTGGTCGCTCAGGTCGATTTATAGAGATATTATAATTGCAATCCAAGCCGTCCATTGTTATGAATATCTTAAAGCAGGAATTTTTTTGCATTAAGCATTTGTATGGAGCAGACGGACAAAGAGACGTCGTCTCACGCCATGCGTTTCACATTGTGTGACAAAATTATAACATTCTCTTTTAGGGTATATCAAGACCATAACAAAGCGGCAGCAAATCGTCGGTAATCAATCGATATGCTAGCGGCGACAGCATCGTTTGTATTTATGGCATAGGCCCATAAACATAAATATAAACATAAACTGCGAATAGCGAATAGCCAACATTTCAAAAGGCAAGCGGTTGATATTTGGATGCACTTGCCGTTGAGACATTTGTATTTGAATATCGATAGCAACAAGTGCAATCAGTCGATTGACTGCATTCGATTTGGCAGCTTGTTAGATGTTGCTGTTGCTGTTGCTGTTGCAGCTGATGATGTTGCTGACGTTGTTGCCTGTTATGCAAGCGGCAAAATGTCAGTCACTTGGCAGCATGCGACTTGCCAATGAATGTCAAACATATTGGACCATTGCAAATGTCAGCTATTGACAGCTAAAGCACTCACACACACACTCACGCATTGGCATCTTGGTGTTGCACTTGTTAATGCCGTGTTGCCGACAACATGTTGCTGCTGCTACCCTGATTGGCCTGGCAAGCGACAAATTAGGCGCACAATCGCTTGACTTTTACCGTAGCAATGTTTATGGCCCATTAACTTGGCTTGCGCAAAGTTCACGCTAGTCAGCCAACTAAACTCAGCCAACGCCTTTAAGCATACGAGCGCCCATTCACCTACTCATTGATTAAGCAATCTTTTCGCCTTTTTGTTTTTCTTTGGTCAGCAGCCACAATTTTATGATATCCAATTAATTTTAAATGCACATGCCTGTCTATGCCAGCCGCATCGAGGCGAAGCGATGCGATACGCCCAGCCATCACAGCAAGTGCTTAAGGGTCAGCAATCTTTTTATTAACCCCGGTCACGCCAATATTTTGTCCATCGACTTGCCGATAAACCCATTATCACTGACCACTGACCAGCGATAACTTTCTCAATTACAATTGCAATGCTTAGGCCCGATGCTGTGACCCGTTTGACCAAATCTCTGGCCTTAGTTGAGCCGCTAAAATTGCTGAGCCCAACTGTCTCCTCCACTCCCTCGTTTTGATCGATTGCGAATTATTGTCTTTGGCACCGTCCACTGCGGCTGCGGCCATATAATTTCTGTTGCCCCAAAAAGTCAATTGATATGGACAAGAAATATTAGTATTTTCGTATACTCGGCTTGAGCTAAAGCTCCCAGCTATGAGTCGCCAGCTGAAGTTAGGCCGGCTTGCTGATTGACCGATGGCAGATGGTTCGGTCGAGAGTTCGATCTTTGCCAATATTCAGACATTTGGGCTGGATGGCTGAAGTGCCCAAAGACAAATATGTCTATGGCTAAGGCTATGACTAAGTGAACTGTGTGATAGAGCTGTAGACGTTTGGCAAATTGATTTTACGGCCAGAGTTTCAATTCTGACTGCGAAATAACTCAACTGTTGCTTTGGGGCATACTTAGACTTTAAACAGATCGTTGGGCAAAGATTTGCCGTCGAGTGCTCGGAGCGGCGTAGGGTGGTCTCTATGATGTGGCGATAAGTAACTGGTAGATGATTGTTATTTTAATGTTATGGTCAGGCCTTGGGTTTCGCTGTACACAAAGAGGGTGTCGAATTGCGTGGGCGTTACTAACGGATTGACAAGAACGAAGAAGGAGCGATAGAGAAATTACCATTTAAGTCGCGGACGATTGAAAGTGGAACATTCAAATAAAAAGGCAAACGCAAATCGTATATCTCAGTTGAGTGTTCAATCATAAATTATAGCGTTGCCATATCGTGATAGCTCGAAAAAAGCCCCTTTCACGCCGATACAACTTGACTCCACCCAGCACTGGCCACAACAGACATTCAATCTCAATCTTCTAGCCTTGCGCTGATTTCCTAACAGCAACAACAAAAGCAACAACAATAAGTTAAACAATCGAGTGCATTATTCGCGGCACAGCAACTTATAAATTAAGTACTAATTATATAAAATGCAACAACAATAAAATCAACTCGACAGCTGAAGCAACGCAAATCAAACAAAGCCGCCACCAAAAAAAAAAAATAAAAACCAGAATAGAAAAATCAAAATCGAAAAAAAAAAAAAAACAGTGAGAGAACGTGTGCGGATTGTGACCACGCCCACTTAATGTAAACTGCGTGGGCGTTACGCTAATGATCAAAACTTTTCATATTGCAATGCATGGATGGAAGGTTTGATAGTTGCTGTTGCTGCTGTTGTTGTTGTTGTTGTTGTTGTTGTTGCTACTACTGCTATTGCAAATGCAATTGTTGCGGCCGCAGTTGTTGTTGCGTCTTGAATGGGTGATAAATTATTTCCCGCCATTTGCATAAATGCTATGAATGCATTAATTGAAGTCCAAAGGCACACAAACTTGCAACGCCCTCGACACGCCTCCCCCACACCCCGATTGGGCTTTTGCCATTCGCCGTTGCGTGCTGCAGTTGTCGATCTAATCAATTGCAGTTTATTGTTGGCCAGGCCCATAGAGAACCCATAGAGCGGCCCATTAACCATGTGAGCGCAGCACTTGTGTGCCATATATGCGCACTATGGCAGTATTAGATATATCTATGTATTTCTATCTCTATCTGCGTATCTGCATCTCAATATATTCGCCTCTTTAGGTGGCTGCCGCCTAATTGTTCATAAAAGTCAACAGTCAATAGCTCTTTATGTTTGCCTTTGAAATTTATATTTATTTATCGTTATTTTCAAACACAATGGATATCGTATACGGCTGGTTTGCTATTTTTTTTTTATCTTTTTTTTTTTTTAGATTTGTGACTCTTCATAATTTTGCTAGACATTTGCTTAGCAGTAGCCATTGGCTGCCTGGGCTGTTGATTTGAATTCAAGGTCTGCCATTCTTTACAATTAGTCCCAGAATTTATGAGCGATTTCAATTTTAAATTGTTCGCGATCGGAGCCGTTGTTGTTGCTGCCGCTGTTATTGGCTAACTAGTTTCAAACATTGTTGCAGTAGTCAGATCGCCGGCCAATATCAAGCACTCCAATCTTCACCAAAATTGGTGAAATACTCATAAAAAACCTACTAACTCATTCATAGCCAATTTTCCATCTTGGTGCATATATATGTATTTTGTGAAAATTAATAAAGGTTGCTATTAGCATTTTAGTCATTTAATTTTTAGTTTCTAGCTCCAATACTATAAACCAATTTAGTTTTCCCGTCCTCACTCTGCGGAGACATATAATTTTGGCTAGTTTTTATAACGAGCCATAAGTAGCGCAACTATAAATTTTTTATGGACAGGCCAGCAAGACATTGTACTAAGCCGAAATACACATTTCGGTAAGTGTGTGCCTGCAATGTACATACTTATAACAGAAGCGTATAATATTCGGATATCGGTTTCTACAGAGAGCCCTACATATCTCCTTGTAGAACAGGATTTTCTAGGATTTTCGCGGTGATGCTTTTAGAGTACCTAGTTGAGCACTCCGCCAAGACAGTTATATCTTGATTTTTTCCTTAAATATGTATTCATGACATAATGATTTCGTAAACGTGACATGAAAAATATGATAAGAATAAGAAAGGCCTATGGATTAATTTAATAATTTTTGTATATTTCATATAATTGAATAGCAATACCATTTGGTAGTTTTCGGTTAGATTAGAACAAATAGCCCTGTCCCAACAAACAATTATGCAGCTAAGCTGACATTTACTCGATGGCCGATAAGACCAATGCGTACCCCCTGAATTTAGATATAATTGAAACCTTACTGGTCTAGTTCAATCAGATAAAAATCAGTCAAAGCCATTAAAAACGCACTTGCCTCTTAGAAATGTGCCTAGTGTTCTTTGGACTACCAGAGAGTCTTGACTATTGAAAACTATTAGAAACAGCAACAATGTTATGTGGCTTCTATTCATCTTTGATAACAAGAAGTCTTGTTCAAGTGATAGTTCTTTTACAATTGAGTGGACACTATGCTGCACGAGGCGAGACGAGACAATCTGAAGTGGGTCAACTTCTGCGACAACTCAACTCTGCGTTCGGGATAGAACTTAACATCTTTATTAACATGGAGAGTACCAATGAAGAAGCAATGGAGTTACAGCTAGATACGCCAAAGATGCAAATTCAGCTATCGGATAACAGTATACCTGATTTTAAACTTCTTGGAAGATTTACCGAAAAAACTTTAACCATAGTTTACATACAGACCTATCCACTCGACCCTCGGCTCATGAACTTTTTACCACGCCTTTTGTGGGAGCTACATGAACTTCACATCGTTTTCATAACTAAGGAAGAGTCCAGCAACTGGCAGAATGATCTCTACAGCTACTGCTTTCGAAACGGTTTCATCAATGTGCTTCTCATTCAGAACCTACGACCCGAAATTCTGTTATATAGCTACAATCCATATCCAACAATTCGCACTTTGCGATTGCCGCTGCTTGAGGATTACCTCAATAGGTGGCGCCATCTACTGAATTTTCAACAGTACCCGGTTAGGACTCTTCTATTCACGGTTGAGCCACGCATTTTTCAATATGTAAATCGAAGAGGAGAGCTGGTGTATAGTGGCTACTTGTACAATGCGCTCAAGGGGTTTACGCACCGGTATAATTCTTCGATATATATAGTAAAAGAAATTGACGTTGATGATTTGTACGATACGGGTATGACTCTATATGTAAACCGTAGCATTGATATTATTTGCTATATCAAACACTCCCATTTGAAAATAGCATCCACTAAACCTCTCCATCTCGTTCCATTACGTTTAGCGGTGCCCCATGCTAAGCCAATTGCGAGCTATTTGTACTTTGTGCGCCCTTTCACATGGACTCTGTGGCTCACAGTGATTGGAGCCATTGGGTATGGAATGCTGATGCTTTATGGTAGTAGCAGAAATGGACGCTCCGAAATCGGCAAATATTTTCTTAGCAGTTGGTGCAATTTTCTGTTTATCTCACAGCCGAGGATCATCTTTGCCAACTGGCAACAGGTTGTCATCCATTTTATAATGCTCTTAAGTGGATTCATACTCACGAATTTTTATGTCGCATTGCTTTCAAGTATGCTAACCTCGGGTTTGTTTGAGGAGGATTACAATACATTTCAGGATTTGGAGCGTTCCTCTTACACCTTACTAACTGATAGTTACTATGCTCATTTTATGAATGAGTCAACATTCATGCCAGAAATCATCAAGCAACGCATTAGCAGAGTTGACTCGGATGCCCTTGAAGCTGCACGCGTAACCATGAACACAAGTCACATGTATACTCGATATGAAGATCGCTTAGATGGCTTTCTATTTCAACAGCACCTTCTGAAAGTTCCCCTGTTTAAGGTGATACCGAAAAGTCTTTCGGATGGCTTCATGTCCTTTCCAGTGCTCAACGGATTGCCTTATTTAAATTTGATAAATAGTTATCTAAGACGTATATTTGAGTACGGCATTTTGCAAAAGATCAAGACCGATGCATATCTGGACACTATCGAGGGTGGCATTACGAAATTTATTACAAGTGACAGGACTGAGCGCAAGCCATTTGCTGTGGAATTTTATTACTATGCGTTTGCATTGTGGGGCGTGGGCTTAATGCTGGCCTCACTCTGCTTCGTCCTGGAGTTACTAAGACATTACGTGACTAATCAAATTCAATTGTAATGCTATTTAACACATTTTAATAAAATTGGGACCTAATAACGGGGTATACGTTCAGCTACAGCTATAAAAGCAGTTCATAGTGTCTCTGGAGTACAGAACTCAAATGGATTTGCTTTACTTGAACACGCTGCAGAACTTGTCGTTGGTGCCGGGCCGCTTTGTCAGCCAGTGCATTGACCAGCTCAACGATTTATACAACATAGAACTGAATGTTTACGTCCAGTTTGGAAATAGGTCTGTTTTCGATAATCTCCTGCCAGCCAGAGAGCAGGTTCTACCAACACTGCTGGTAAGCAATGCGACGCTGCAGCTCGTACTTAGCGGGAACTATAGTGAGCGAGCCTTGACTATAATATTTCTGGACGATGCGCATGCCCACAGCATGGTCAGGTACCTTACATCCTGGCTGTGGCGTGCCCAGCAGCTGCAGGTATTCATCGTTTATCCAGGGGCAACGCCAGGTAAATTATTTCAGCTCTTTTCGCACTGCTGGCGTCAGGGCATGGTGCATATTTTGGTGGCTCTGCCGCATACTCAAGAGCTCCGTAGTTACATGCCGTATCCAGAACTTCGACTGCTAGTCATGCGGGATACGCTGGAGTACTTTCATCGCACTCGTGGGTTGCTTTGGGACTTCCATGGCTTTCCAATAACTTGTGGCATCCTGCCCAGCAGCGCACCGCGGGCCTTTCTCTTTAGAGATCAGCGAAATCGAACTGTGTATGCTGGCTATATGCTTCGCATGGTCTTAGACTTTATTCAACACTATAAAGGCAGCATACGAACTCACATGCTGGACTCCTTGAAAGAAGCTAATGAAGCACTTAGTACTCGTCTCATCGACTTCTTGCCATACCTGTTAGCAGAGACTCCGAACTTCACGAGCAGCGTCGTACTCTGGCACGAGAACAGCTATCTCATGGCGCCATCAGCCAGACTGCTGCCCAGGTATATGTACCTGCTGAAGCCCTACACTTGGCACACTTGGATGACCTGTCTGGGCATGTTGAGCTACTGCAGCGGGGCGCTGTTTCTGCTTTCTCAAGGTCGGGTAACTTTGAGTGATGCATTTTTGCAAATTCTGCGACTAGTGCTTTTTTTATCACCTGGTAGAGACCTAGCTGCTCCTCCAAGACCGCGTCGGCTTTTAGTTTACGTTATAATGATAATAGCTGGCCTCATACTGACCAATCTTTACCTGGCGAAGCTCTCCAGCAATTTGGCGGCGGGCCTCTATGAAAAGCAGCTGAACAGTTTCGACGACTTGGAGGGAACGGACTACCAGCTGCCCCAAGAGGAAGTCGAGTATAAGTTTCTACTCAATCTGCCCGACCTGCATCCGCAACTGGCCAAACGCCTCGTAGTCACACCGGAGCAACTGGTGGACAGATATCGGCTCGAGCTGAACGTCAGCATGCTGCACAATGGCTTTGCGGATAGCATTGAGTTTGCCTTGTACCAGCAGAAGTTCTTGCGCGTTCCGCTTTTCCACAAGCTACCGCAGATCATTTACCAGCAACCCTTCTTCATGCCCGCGGCTTACGGGCGACCCTACCTAAAGATCTTCAATTGGTATTTGCGGCGAATGTTCGAAGGCGGAATCTTGCTGAAAATGAAAACCGATGGCTTCATCAATGGGATCCAGAGTGGACGTTTACGATTTGTGAACCATGCCAAATACCAGGAGGTGAATTCCAATGATCTAGAGTACTACTACGCGGCAGCTGCTCTCTGGTTGATTGGTATATTACTGGCCTCTTTGTGCTTTATCGTTGAGAGGTGGAGAAGTTATCTTCAGGGTAACACGTAAGGAATACAAAGCTTTGCGATTCTCGTTTTCATATTACTCACATTTTTATTCATAAAACGTACCTTTCTTTTTTTGTATAACGGCAATAAAAAAAATTGTTAGATGTCTTTCAAATTGAATTTCATATTTATATTTATTCACGATAATTTTCCATTTACTGTAGAGCAAACATTTATTGTAATTATACATTTCATCAACACGCAGATTTTTTATTTGAAGTACTGGATACTCGGGCTTTGTAGCATACACACATTTGTATATGATGATCACGTTCTGAAAGTTGCCTGAAGGTAATCCCTCAAGAGGAGAAATTCCCATACTATTATCAACACTACACCCCACGCCCAAACACTGCTTGAGCTTAAGCGTGCGTTCGGATGCATGTGCATGTATGTATGCATAAAAGAAGTGGAGAATGATTAGAACATCAGCTTAGAGGGCTTAGAGTATTTCCTAGTCGAGCAGTCGCGACTACGTTTTGAAATCTAGGTTGGCGTAAGAAATTTCTTCGCAGGACTCACGATATATTCTTGCATATCCTAACACTAGATCAACTACCCCATGAAACGTTTGGAAGTAATAAACGAAAATAAAATCGATTATACATAAGAACAAAAAGAATAATTTATATTCCTGCGATTTACATGGTGTGAAGATATTTACAATAATTAGTATTACGTCAAATACTTCACTGAAAGCTGTTTAATATAATTAAATAGCTATACCAATTGGTAATTTTGTCCCAACAAATAATTAAGCAGTTAAGCTGACATTTCGATGGCCGATAAGACCAACACATCGCATGACTAATCAGGCTCGACTGTAACCTTAATCTTAATTATCTATTAAGCACAAATTAATAAATGTGGGACCTAACAACGGGGTCTACGTTGAACCAAATACCAGGAGATGAATGCCAATAATATATAGTAGTACTATGAGAGCTGCTCTCTGCTTACTTTAGATACTCATTCATGAAAGTGAAATAAGTATATTGACTTTGTGAATATCTGTCTTGCTGTCCGTTCGTCTGTATGTATGAACGCAATTTGAACGAATACACTTGACTAAGATGGTGTTTAGTTTCGTATTGATCTTTATTAT